GTATCAGAATTAGAAATTCTCTTGGGAAGAGGCAGATCCTCCACAGGAAAAGATGTCTCTGATCAAAATCTCTCTTGGCTTGGCTTGTTGTTATGGAAATAGTTTTCCCGCAAGGAAAGAGAATTGTTCAAATTGATTTCAGGGAAGGTAGCCTTCTTCAGAAGAACTGAGAGTGTCTTTGTTGAAGGTGGATTCCTGCTCCTCTCCCATAATAATCTAATTTAGTAGGCCATAGTAATCTGCTGCCTCCTAGACTGTGTCTAGTATGTTCTTATCATTTGGTATATTATTACCATTATGGACATTGGACATAAACGTCCAGCAGAAGCTACATTGTGCATGCACTTGCTACTAATTGGCTTACTTTGAATAGCTTCATTACCCTCCTGATTCAGTGTCACCTTCTGAATGAGCTGGTAATCAATACTGAGTACTGTGTTGTACTCAAATATAAGAAGGCAAAAGTAGATTGTGAATCTGATGGCCTTGCTTGGAAGGTGGCCCAGACAATGCATAAGTGCTATTTGCCTCCAGCAAACCTGACTCTAAACAAGCTAGGGGGGAGTCTGAACATTTATAGCACTGGGAACTGTCCCCAGTTACGTTTTCATTGGATTGTTTCCTTTCTCAGATCCATTTGGCATATTGCAGATGGCTCAGGAGAAGCCTTGATTCAAGAACAGAGCTGCTTCTAGCTGAATGGGATCCTCTTCAACTCACTGGAGTTAAGAGCTGTTCATCAAGGGCTATAGATTCTTTGCTGCATTTAAAACAGAGGATGGAGAGAATATACTGCATGCCAGATGTGCTCTTGATTCCCATAGAAACCAGATGCTTTCCCTTTGATTAGTTGCAACATTACTATCAGTTGTATATTTGCTTATGCAATGTTAATGTTTAAGCCATTTTAATTGTGATTTTAACTATATATTTGCTTTGTGAGCTACTTTGAAAACAATTATAACTCACAACAACTCAGCACATGGCTTCCAAATGATGAGTAGGGGGATGTATGGCAAAATGCACTGAAATGCCAGAGGGAGTTGACAGCTGGACAGGGGATATGGAGAGATGGGAACTGATGAACAAGAAACAAGACTGAAGGTACTTTGTACAGAGGGATCGCTCTTGCGATGGGTTCAGTACAGATGAGCAAGCATAGGGTAACAGACATGGGGTAACATTGGCACATGTCTGCTTAGGTTAACAAGTATTTTCACCTGAGATGCTTTGACTGTGCATGGAATATTAGTTCTAATGTAGAGTCTTGAGAATCTGAACTTTATCCTTTTAGAGTAGGGATGTGAGCCTCCAGGTGGGACCTGAGGATCCCCTGGAATTACATCTCATCTCCAGACTACAGAGATCAGTTCTCCTGAAGAAAATGGATGCTTTGGAGTGTGGACTCTGTGACATTGTACCCCAATGAGGTCCCTGTCCTCCCCAGGCTCCACCTCCAAATCTCCAAGAGCTTCCTAACCTGAATCTGTTAACTCTGTCCCCCATCCCCCACCAGTAGCCGGGGGGACCTGGCCACCCTATTTCAGAGATTGTCTTCTTGAAAATACCTGATTGGATTCTAATAAGGGCTTAGACAGTACAGAATATCTAGGTGAAGTAGTTGGTGGTTGCTACTACAGTCCAGGTCTGTTATATGAACCATTGAAATTGCCTTGTGTAGACCATTGATATCTAAATCAGTATGTGTATTTTGGTGACCATTCAGTGAAAATTATCTCCCAAACTTGCTTTATGAGATTTTATTAATTGGGGTGAGAGGGACTAGAACTTGGGATCTTCTGCAAGCAAGCTCCCTGTCAAAAGAGTTGTGGCTCCTCTGGAAGGGAGAGTCCACCAGAGACTTGAAGAATTAACACTCATATAGCAGGCTTCCCTAGGACCCTCCAGTTCTCCTACATTTATAATAATCCAGCAATGTTCCTTAGTGTGAAGGCCTGAAAGTTGTTTTCTTTTTAGCCTTACCCAGTGCCTAATCTTGTTTGTGTCCATTCTATCGATCACCACCCTCACCCCCCATCACCATGTTATCACCTATTTGTATCAACAGATATCTGTGGTTTTAGTTTCTAAAACTGTTTTAAGCTTTATGTTACTTAGAAGGCTGGTTTTCCAAAATGCTTTCCCTACATTTAGTGAAGTGTTGTCCATCTTTTTTCAGTAATCTGACTTTCTCGATCTCTACTGTAGGAATCAGAAAGCCAAAGCCCATTTGTCCCATACCTATATTAACTTCTTTCATGGCTAAAATGTGCCCTGTCTTGTTCCCCTTTAAATACCTGGCTCTGCCTCCTTGACTGCCTCTGACCAGGTGTAGGTGCCATACTCTGGCAGTATAGATGGGTTTGGTACATGGTATGTGATTGGGAGGTTGCTCTGAATATTTTGGTTAGAAAGGTATGAGCTGACATTTCTGGGTCTTGCCCATTTCAGCCTTTACACTGGGAAGAGAGGTCAGGGAATATCTCACCATTCCCTGGCAGCTGCCTGAGGCTTTATGGGGCATACTTTATCATTTGAGGTCTCTGAAGATAAAAGAAAAAAGCACCAATCTCCTCCTCTTTGCTTAGACTACATTACTCAGCATGACTGTATTGATTTCAGTGGGCTCAAGTACTAGAGAAGGAACTGCTCTCTTTTTCTTAGGGCTGACATTATTCCCAAGATTGATGAAAAAATCAAATGCTTTAATAGCTTGATTATTTAGCACCTGCCATTCCATCTAATCAATTGGAGCACTGGGTACAGGACACATTTTGACAATCAGCCCATTGTTCATTTAATGAGCTTCCTCAGCATCCCTGTGGCTGTGACAGGTGTATCCGAAGTTGTTTATTTCTTCTCTGCTGAATTCTCTGAACCTCCGATTATGTTTGGTGTCCTGGAGAAGTCCTGGTCTATGATTGGTCTTGATTGCTAGCGTGTTCAGTTGCATCTGAACATTAATCGATTTGCATTAAAAAACCCTCATGGGAATCTAACCTATGCTCTGATTTGTCTTATTTTAAAAGGAAATTAAAATAAAGTGCACAGCCAGTGTCCCTCTCTGTTTCTTACACAGAGTAGTTTCCAATCATGCAACGAATGGATCAAATTCCTTTTGGGACTGGGGGGAAAGGGTTGGTTGGAAATGCAGCATGCAGATTAATTCCGTTTTGCATGCTTTTTAAAATGCTTGGAGGGGGCAATTCTCTTTAAAACTCAGCAATATTGTATTGTTTGTGTTTCTTCTAAGAAGAAGGCAGTGCAGAGACAATCAGAGCTAGTATCAGGGCTGTCAAAAGGAGTGGAATAAGGTAGCAAAATTCAGGGATAACATCTACATCAGACTACATTAGACTACTGCAGTGTACTATGCATAGGGCTTCCCTTGAAGAGTGTCCAGAAGCTACAACTGGTGCATAATGCTGTGGCCAGAATTCTGGCTGAAGTGGCTTGTAGAGACTATATCATTCCAGCTTTGTTCCACCTATATTGGGGTCTAGTTTGCTTCTGGGCCCAATTAAAAGTGCTGGTATTGATCTTTAAAGCCCTATACAGCTTGCGGACAGCATACTTAAAGGAGTGCCTGCTCCCATATGGACCTACTTGACCATTACGGTTATCCTCAGATCCCCTCCCCATCTGAGAAAGAGCCTTTTCACTCATGGCACCAGCACTATGGAATTCTCTTGCTAGGGAGGTTCATCTGTCCCCTTCTATCACAGTCTTACCCCTGCAGATGAAGACTTTTCTGTTTTGTCTGGTGTTCCCGCACTGATTCTCATTGACCATCCTCTCTGTTCATGTGTCTTGTTTTCATTGTTTGCTGCCTAGGGGACCCTAAGTTGGGTAGAATGTTAAAGGATGTTTTGAATAAATAAACTAGTTAATATCTGCAATGGGTGGAGAGTCATGGGTTTTTGTTAGGCTAGTAACAGTTCTAGTGAGATAAAATTCCCAAGTCCCAAGGAGGAGAGAGGAAGTAGTGTGAAACATTTGAATAAATCCCAATTCAATTGTTTCATACTATATTCCCCTTTGAAGTTCTTTTGTTGAAGGTTGGTGGCTTAGAGGTCAGAAGCACTATCCTGGTAGATTGAAAAGTTCTCCCTCTAATTTCTGAATATTATGATTTTTAAAAACAGATTTGTGTCCTTTAGTTTTGCATAGAGACTGACTTCTTTGTCATATGTAGAGAGCAGGAGGACACTGTTGACACTTGATGGACTATATTACACTGCAAGATGAGCAAGTGAATAAGCTTTAGATGGTATAGCTGACAGAGGTATAGGAGGACAGATAAGAGTAAATGTGATAAGCATAAGTTTGATGCTATTTGTGCAATTCTGTAGTTGTATTCAGGAAAAAGAAAACCATGTGCCTACACTTCTGAGATGGAGCTGCGGTGGCTCAAGTGGTTAAGACGCTGAACTGCAGGCTGTGGAAGGTCAGTAGTTCAGCAGTTCAAGACCCGGGTGCCGCAAGACGGGGCGAGCTCCCGTCTCTAGTTCCAGCTCCTGCCAACCTAGCAGTTCAAAAGCAAGAAATTGCAAGTAGATAAATAGGTACCACTTCGGTGGGAAGGTAATAGCCTTCCGTGCACCTTGGTGTTTAGTCATGTCGGCCACATGACCACAGAAACGTCTTCGGACAGCGCTGGCTCTTCGGCTTTGAAACGGAGATGAGCACCGCAACCCTAGAGTCGGATTCGACTGGCTTTCGAGCAAGGGAACCTTTACCTTTACTTTACACTTCTGAGAAGAGGAAGCATATGTTTGTGTGTATGCATATAAAATGTGCCCTAGGCAAAAAATGGAATGGATGAGTTCATATGTTTGTGTGTATGCAGATAAAATGTGCCCTGGGCAAAAAAATGGAATGGATGAGTCTTCCACCTACAGGGCAAACTGTATGGAAGGCAAACATTATTTCAAAGGCAGCATAAGCCACCTAGATACTGGAAGTGTATGTCAAGTGTTGCTTCCCATTTTGTGTTCCAGAATGCAGCAAAAACAGTGGAAGAAGAAAAGCTCAGAGCTCCAACCATCCAAGAGCTGAAACAGAAGATTGACAATTACAATTCAAAAGTCAACAACTGCTTGCTGATGAAGATGGTTTGTATTGCATTTTCTGGATTACATTTGTCTTTCAGTACAGCTCAGTACAGTAATGTGGCCTAAACATAAAGGTGAACTAATTTTTGCTCCATTCCAGAAAAAAGGTGCCTCTCTTTTCTCCCACTCTGTATCCCTAAGAACAAATGTAGCCCAGATTCTGGAGGAGGGGCTGTCCATCTATCTCCTTGTGGAGACGAGTTGAGAGACTGATTTCCTTGAGATCCCACTATCCTTTCCGTAGCCTGTTGCCATTGCAGTAGCTCCTGTACAGAGCACCAGTGCAGTATGACTCTGGGGGACTGGCTAGCTGTTGCTCTCTCCCTAAACTACAAGGTTTGCATCAGATTTGGGTGGAGTCAGGAGTGAAGTTAACTAACCAAAATCCGCTTCTGGATGGACAGAAGGGACATCAAGACAAATAATGTAGTATTTAAAAATCACTCATAGTCTCTTCTTCCCTGCAAAAGCCATGTTTAGCACCTGAGCTATGATGAAAGGAAAGGCCAGCCTAATGGAAATGCGCCTGGCAGAACACCTCATGATTTATGGAGTGACCACCAATTACAGATATTTTGTAGATTGTACAGCAGGGGTCCCTGACCTTTTGGAGCCTGTGGCCATCTTTGGAATTCTGATACAAAACGGTGGGCACAACCACAAAATGGTCACTGCAGGAGGCAGAGCTGTACACACAGGATCCCAAGTGCAGGGACAAGAGGAGTAATTTAAAGGAATACACTGGGAAAGAAGAGTGAGTGAAAATAAAACCAACACTCTGGTACACAACATTATTTTAATTTGCACAGCCAATCAGATCTCCAGCAGCCAGTCAGAAGCCCTGGCCTAATCACTTTCTAAAACTGTTAGCAATTGCCAAGGAAAAAGTGTGTGTGTGTGGGGGGGGTGCCATGGCATTCATGGGCACCATTGTGGTGGCCCTATTGTACAGTATTGTTTTCATTTCCGTTGCCCTGAGAGGCTTAGGGTAGGTAATTATATTATAACTACCTGTATATAACTTCATAATAGATGCAAGGAATTAGTTGGTGCTTCATGGGAAACATGGATTCATTAATTCTGCTTTTAAGTGATAGTGCATTGGCTGCTCCATTCTGTGTTGATTCCTCTTGCACAAAGTTGCTCAATGTAGAGTCCAAATGCAGTTGTGCAGGCTATTCCATGGCTGCTGCTTTGCTTACCAGAACTGATCAAATTGGCCTGATAGTTGTTCATTCAGCATGACATAACCTTTCATCAAAATGGATATATAACATTTGGTCAGGACAGATGCGCCACCATTCCCTTCAGTCCTCTGGTTTGCTTGATTTTCATCTCAACAAATCTGGTGGAGGGCTTGGCTTATTCATCTGGCTGGTATGGTGTTGACTTCAGCAATTTCTTTATTGAAGTCCATACAGTCTGTCAGCTGGATTTGAGCGTCACAATGTTCTTGAACTCTCTTGAACTGTTGCTGCTCAGGTCAGGAGCATTGTACAGCCAACAAAAGTTGAGTTGAGGGTACAAAGACAGACCTACTTATAGCTGTAGAATACAATATTGAGGTGATCTCTTAGTTTCACTTTGAATCTGAAATGGTACAGAGTACTTGGGAATGTGAGCAATACAACTACTTTAACTGAAACATTTTCCCCTTAATAAGCATTGATCAGTAGCTTCTCACTCACACACTCACCTTTCACCTCAGAGTTATTGTGAGGGTAAAATGAGATGCTCCTGTGTGTGCTGTTCTGAGCTTCTTGAAGGAGGGGGCTCCTGTGTGTGCTGTTCTGAGCTTCTTGCACGGAATACAAATCTGATAGATTTTTTAGAAAAGAAAAATCAGCTCAGCAGCTTTATATCTGAAAACTAATTGTACTTCATGCAGAGCCCCAAAAGGTTTGTGTTCCATATGATGTCAGTCCCTTAGTGAAGTACAATCAAAGAATACGGACAGAATCCATCACCTCAGCTCTGGTAAGGAGGGCAACTTTCCTCACAAGGACAGACTCCCTTCACATACAAGAAGATTTTGAGCTGTCTCACCATCAATCGTCCTTCAGAGCTTATTCCATGAACCTGCTGTGTAACTGGTGTGAGCCATATAGCAGCTGGGATGACTGCTCTATAGCTAATTTGAGTGTTAGGTTGAAATGCTCCACAGCTACTGCAGTGCCCCATGAATACCAACAAATGATTTTCCAGAAATAGTTGTGGCTGTATTGTTCTGGTTCAGATGAGTCAAGATGAATACATCCTACCCCTGCTGTGGTTCAGCCGCTGCCTCACATCCTGCGCCCCTGTGGAAGCAGATGTGTTCATTTTTTCCAGTCAGGTCCTACAATTTGGGGTTCTTGACAATATATTTTTCCCAGAAAAACAGCATTTTCTATAGAGGCACCAAGGGAAAGCTTGTTTAAACTTCATTGGAAAAGGGATCATTGTTCACTCAGTTCAGTGCATCTTTCTACTTTGCCTTGTCAAGATGAGGCAGTTGCTTTTGGGCCACAGCACTTCATCATCAGTCACCATCGTCAGCTTTAAGTCCAGTCACGGTGAATGAGGGAAGCTGAAATTGAAATGTATGGGGGTTTTGTTGTGGAGTTATAGCTTCTTTGTAACAACATTCTTCCATGGCAGTGGAAAAATATTATAGAAAATAGAGCAGAAAGACATGGGCCAAGAAGTGTATTTTAATACTCTATTAAACACAATCTACCTGGAAGTCAGAGGGCTCCCACAGAGCCATGATTATAAAAGAAATTACTGGAGTATAACTCCAGATTGTTATGAATGTGGAATGGCTTAATGAAGATCTGAATGCTTTGTACAGCACTAAGGGCTGTGTTGGAGCTAAATGAGCCAGAAGGCTCTTGCCAGCTTGTATACTCAAGGTACATGGTTGTTGGGTCTTCCATGATATGTTTTATTTCCCAAAGCATTTAGCTCAGGGTTGTTACAGGTTGGGTTAACTTGGAATACATTTATATAACCAGGAAATAATAGTATGGGTATGGAAGAATGGTGAGTTTGTTGCTTCTGTAGTGAAGTTCTTCATGAAAATTAATCCCGTGTTCCAAGTAACTGGAGGATTAAACAAATGCCACTCCACTTTCTTTACTCCTGATAAATCATCACTATCTTGGACGTTTCCTCCACAGAATGATGATGGCACTTACACAGGCTTCATCAAAGTGCACCTCAAACTGCGCCGGCCTGTGACAGTCCCAGCAGGCATCAGGCCGCAGTCCATCTATGATGCCCTCAAAGAGGTCAATGTAGCCAACATGACAGAAAAGAGAACGTCCTTCTACTTGCCACTGGATGCCATCAAGCAGCTGCACATCAGCAGCACTACCACTGTCAGTGAGGTGATCCAGGGACTTCTGAAGAAATTCATGGTGGTGGACAACCCACAGAAATTTGCACTTTTCAAGCAGATGCAGAAAGATGGCCAAGGTGAGACAAACAGGCCCTCAGAGGTTTCCAATAAGAGCTGCCTACAATCTCAGACTGGTTTCAATTTCAAACCCAGTGAAGATGTTGTGCATGTAAATGGTAAAGCCCATAATATCCATTTGTGCCCGCCTCCCCAGTTAGAGTGGCACAAGTTAGTACAATGGAAGTTTTAAATAGATGTCTGTTAATAATTTTTTACTTTTCAAAACTGGCATCTGAAGCACCCACGAATTTTACCTGAAAGCAACTTAGAATTAGGCAGATGTATCATAAGTTAAATATCTAAACAGAATAAAAGGGGGTTGGGGGCAATGTTCCCTCTAAGCTGTGGAGTCTTGTGAGCAAAAATTCTACTTTGTGAGCTACCGGCATTAACGTTGTGAGCGAGCGATTTGGCTACTGCTTGCTCTGGAGCCATTCTTCCTAAGACAAAAATGTGTGAGTTGGAGGCTAAAAAACTGTGAGCTAGCTCACACTAACTCAGCTTAGAGGGAACACTGGTTGGGGGTGGAAAAATGATTGCAGGGCAGCATAGAAATGCATTCCCTCAATCAAATTTTGGATGTAACCATGTTTTTTCAAAATATATTGTGATGTGCCTTTTGCCTTTTCCCCCTTGAAAAACTTGTCTGCTTAAGGGTCTTATCCATTTCTGTAATAAGCTAGTGGGAAGTAGTTTGTAAAATACAGGATGTCTCTCTGTAATGCAGAAGATGCTTGAACCGTACACAACAGACATCTGGCAAAGCCATGATGCTGTCCATGGGCCTTGTCTGCATGCAAATTCTTCCTCATTTGACTGCACCCTGAAAACGGATAACTTGTTGTGGGAATTGCAGGTCTTAAGTACTGGTTGCCAGTGAAGAGGCAGTTTGGAATAGGGAGCAGAAAGGTGAACCACTGCCTTTGCTGAGTGACCTTGGATAGGCTTCTTCATCAGTACACAATTACTGATCAAGCCTGCTCTTGTCAAGTGACAAATTAGGCCAATCATGCGCTGGCTGGAAGCTGCCACCCCTATAACAAGGGATAAGGTAAGGCACACACACACACAGGTGCCTTGAGTCCATTATAATCCAATCCATCTTGAGTGATAACCATAGAAAGATGCTTGTGGCAAGAGGGCTTCTCTCTCATCTCTCAATGCTGAGACAATTGATCTAGGCCCTGTTTAATGCCTGTCCTTGAGATAAAAGCAACTGGAAACTTTATTTATTTATATTTCTTTCTTTCTTCGACTTATATCCCGCCCTCCCCACCAAAGCAGGCTCAGGGTGACTTTCAATTCCAGGGAATTTGAGATGAATGTTACATAGTCCTAATTTGAGAGAAAGAAGGGTTGTACTTAAGTGGGAAGGTGCAGTGTTTTCCTGCCCAGTCCTTGAGAATTGGGACTGTGTGTAGGGTAGCCTTAACAATCCTCCAATAACCACGACAGGTAAGGGAAGACTTTTCTGATTTTCAGTTACTTTTGAGTATTGTTCCATGCCCCACTGAAAGTAAAAATGTGCTGCTTTTACATTTGGCCTGTAATTGCCACAGGTCTGCAATAATCCTCTGTTTGTCCCTTTTGCAGTTCTTTCCCAGAAACTCTCGGTAACAGAGTATCCTTTATACCTCCGACTTGTAGCCGGTCCCGACACAGACGTTCTCAGCTTTGTGTTGAAAGAAAATGAAACCGGGGAAGTTGAGGTATGTCTGGAAGCGGCTTTACCTTTTGAACCTGCACAAACATGCTGAACGTTCTGAAGACGCACAACAGCCAGAAACAAGCTGAGAGTTGTATCCAAAAGGGCAGAGTTTGAGTGGGTTGGAAAAACAAACTTCCTGTACTTCGGGAACTAAAGATACCACTGTTCCAAGACAGGAGAAATGTTGAGCAAATAGCAAGGTTTCTTGAGCCTATAATATGCTGAAGGACCCATTTCCCCTTTCTTCATTTAAGCTTTTTAAAAGTTAAATTTTACTTATAAAAGTAATTCTCTCTCTTCTGCAGAGCCTTCAATCATAATCCTTGGCTTGCTTGATTTTTTTAAAAAAATTCACAACACATCCATTTTTAATCTGCAGGTAGATAAACTGAGTGGTTGCATTATAGATTAGCATTTATGGTTAGCTAATGTGCTGAGGGAGATGGCTTTCCTTTCAAATTAAAAAAATAGGTGGAGTATTTGGTTTCCACCCCATGCATGAAGATAACAGAAAATAAGGCTCCACTGTGCTTAAAACAATGCTAAGGATGGAACTATGGTCTCACCTTTTCCGTCTGTCTTTTAGAAAAGGAAGAGTAAGCAGTTCTGTACCTTTGCAATAAGGCAGTTTTAAAAAATGTCACATCTATTTCATCTGTTAAAAACACATAAATTGAGAACTGTTTCTCAGCAGGGGCTCAGTAAGGACCTGGAGAGAATGGAAACCCTGGTCTTCAATGCCATAAACAGTTAGCTTCTTTCTTCATTCCTCTTATGACATCATGTTCTGTGCAGCTGTGGCAGAAAACCACGGCAATAGAAAATATTTATGTTCACTCATAGAATGGAATTTGGTCTTATAGCGCTTGGTCTTATAGTGCTCTGATCTCTCAGGAGTCTTAGGTAATCACACACAGTCCTCTACCTTTAGGCACTAGGTATGATTCAAACAGGTGTAGCTATGCAGCCACATTTTTTCCACTGTATCCTATTCCAAAGATGCTCTGACTGAATCCCCAAACCAGTCCTGAAACTCAAGAGCTGAACAGGTGGATTGGAGGATTTACATTTTAAAGGAAAACAGTCACCACTACGTGCATAGTGTACTTTCCTGAATTTCTCTTGAACTTGCTCTGCTCACACACCAAATACCTGAAACCTTGCGGCTGAGATAAGATTTAAAAGCATTTGCACCATTCTGTGAGAGCATCTGTGAACAGAAAACAATACAAAGGATCCAGATGTGCAGCTGATTGTGCCAACATATTTGCAACCATAGAACTGAAGAGAGACGGATAAAATAAGTGGTCAGTATTCTAGGAAGCCATTCTGTCAGGTCATGTTAACCTGTCTTATCCCAAGTCAGACCATTGATGATCTCTCAAGGTCAGTATTGTCAACTCAACACAGTGGCTCTCCAGAGTCTGAGCTAGAGGTGTTTCACATCATTTACTATGTGGTTCTTTTAAGTGGAGATGCCAAGGATTGGACATGGGACCTACTGCAAACAAAGCAGATGCTCTGCCACTGAGCCACGCCCCCCTCCCCAACCCCACAGGGGTTCTCTTTGTCCATTAATGTTGAGATTGAAATTTCTTCACCATTTTCTAATCCTGAAGGTTCTGGAGCAGCAGCTGTGAGAGGTAAAATGTGGGACAGGGAAGGACAGATTATTTTATGGGTCTTTCAACACAAAGTGTATTGCCAGGTTAAACTTTCTTTCTCTCGCACACGTGCACATATTGTCCATATGCCAATCTTACATTTCTGTGTGGCTTTTTCTTCCACAGTGGGATGCCTTCTCTATTCCAGAGCTACAAAACTTCCTAGTAATACTTGAGAGGGAAGAAAAGGACAAAATCCAGCAAGTGCAAAACAAGTATAACAGGTTTAAACAAAGACTACAGGAGGCCTTGAAAGAAGCCAATGAGAAGCCTGGATAACAAAACCTGGAAGTGTGGCTAGCAATGAACTTAAAGTAAAAGTTATAATTATTTTAAAAATGTTAAAAATCAAGACTTTTCCTCAGGACACTTTCAGTTGGTTGCTAAGACATGATCAGAGCTGGTAACTATAGAATGGAAATTGATGTTTCAAATTCACCGGCCCTCAGAAAACCAAAAAAGAATGCTGCTTCTCCTTCAACCATAGTCATACTTAATGGCATAACCAGGAAACTTTGCAGCAAGTGCTGAATGTCCAAGGAATTGGGTTGCTTGCACTGTAAATGCTGAAGGCCAGACTGAACTTGCTAGCTTTCTTCTCCTTCTCAACGCCAATACCTTGGCTGCTGGATTTGTGTATATGTGGCAGAAGTGCAATGAATGTGCTCTCTGTGGTCATTTCATCACATGCAGAATGTGGTATCAGAAGCTCTGCATTAGCAATGGACTCTTATTGCTCTGGTGTGCGTGTGGGCACATGTGGGGGATGCCAAACAGTGGTTGCACAGTATGAAGAGAGTTAGCTAAAAAGATATCACACAGGCTAGAGAAGTGGTCTTGATGAGCTTTAGAGTATTGTTGGCCTTGAGCAAGAGTTTATAATTTCTCAGGGGGAAAAGTCAGCTGCTTTTATTTTATTTTATAGGCAACTCAGGAGGGCTGTTTTCTTGGTTAAGCCCTCAGCCTAATATTTTAAGCTTAACCTCAGTACTGCCAACTTAGTTCCTTCTTACCCTGTAGGAACTGGGACCACTGTGAGGAATCTGACAATGAGGTGATTTCAGCACTCAGTGCTTAGCACCAGTCTTCTAGTAGAAAAACTATGTCAGGAACCGGAGGAGGAGGGGATCCAGTTAGCAGAACACGGGCAGTGGGAGACTGGTGGCTGCCTGCTCATCAGGTCCCCATTCCCTGCAGCTGGCTTTTCGATTGCAGGCAACTCAACCTGATGATGGTGGTACATGTTTCATCCAACTAGTTCTGTTCTAGTACGGCAAAGGTAAAGATCTCACCCAATTTAACAGGACCTGTAGAATTTAGTCACTCCTGATTAATTTAGTCACTCCTGAACGACTTGCATGTGGTGCCATTCAGCTGTCATGCTTTCTCCTGTGTTATGAGGCTCTTCTGTGCAATATTGGGAAATTTTAAAAAAATGAGACAATAAACGAGCTATTATGAGAAAGGTGCTAAGTGTCAAACAATGCAGATAAAGCTACTTCGAATGATTCCTGCTTACAGCTCTCTTTATCTTGGATGTGTGAGCAGACTAAGCTGCCCTTCTGACACAGCTGGAGCACTGCAGCAGTCACTCATCTATGAGGCCGTCCCGTGGGGGTGGAGCTCTGCAGCTAAGTGATAGAGTTACTGGGCCTGGGTGTGTGTGTGTGTGATTCAGTGCGGCAGATCCACACGATTCAGTCATTTTGGCACAGCTTGATGGGATCACCTCCTGGAAAAGCGGCTCCCACATACCTGTCTGGGGAAGGTGATATGGGGCCTGACATGTACCCTTGCCTGTTCTGATCCCAAAAGGATTGAAGTACCAGGCCTCCAGTAAGGCTGAGAAGAACTGCTGTCACAGCACGAAGAAGGCAGGGGACACAAAGAAGCACATGCAAACACCATGCCCTGAATATAAAGTATTCAGAAGTTTCATAAGCACTGTAGAAACGGTTGGTGTAGTCCACTGAGGAAGGACTCCTGCCAAATTGTGGCACCAGTGAGAACAAGAGATATTGTTATTGTTTCTAATAACGAAGGACAGTTTTGTAAGTCATGACATTTGCCCTCAGAATGGTAAGTATTCCTTTAAAAAAAAACAACACAGCTTTTTGGAGCCTGGCATGCTCCTGTTCCCTTTAGCATGTCTTGAATATTTTCCTAGAAGGCATGGCTTCTTATGCAATTTATGTGAATGCTGCTGACTAAGCCTCCTGCAAAACAGGAGGGTTTTTTTGTTTTGTTTTTTAAAGATGATATATAGTTATGGGGCACAAAGAGGAAACAAAATTAGTGATGCCCCCGTTGCAAGAGAAAGCAGAGCCACTGGAGCTGTGGCAGAGCAGACGCCTTAGGGATGCATTAGGCTAGACCCCCACCTTAAGAAGCGCAGACTACTGCTGGCAGTGCCTTTGTTAGTATATTGTGTTGCCTGCATATGTACATGTGTAATTCCCCACCCCTTCTCTTTAATGGTCAAATGTAAAAGATGTAAAATCTGTATAGAACAGAATTAGTGAAAGCTTATGTGGTAAATACATTTTTGCAATGCTGTAATTTATTTTTACTACTGGTTTAATCCTATGACATTAAAAAGTCACCTTCCAGCTTTTTTTTTTTTAAAGCTCCTAAGCAATTTGTTCATGTGACACAAACTGTAAGAAGCTATTAAAAATAAACAGTCCCTGTTAAAGCTGTTTCAAAGAGTTGGTTTGTTACCTTGTGCCCTCTGCTGGTATTCACTGGTATTTTAGTCCATAAGCAAAGACACAACCGCAAAGTTTATCTATCTATCCCCGGCTTCTCTCCCTGTGGGGAACCAAAGCAGCATACAATATAGTTCTCCTCAGCTCCTCAGTGATTTGCCAGAAATCACCCAATGAACTTCCATGGGAGAGCGGACAGTTGAACTGGCTCCTAGTCCAATACACTACTGCAATTTGCATTCTACACATAGAAGATGTTGTCGAGACAAGATCCAGTAGAGAACTGAGAAAGATCTAAAAAGTAGATGCTAGGAAAAAATGCGGAAAAAATAAGGCATTATTTAACCTAGAGACAAGTCTATGCCAGTATGTCTGTATAGCTTATGGTGTGGCGTAGTGGTTGGAGATTTGGACTTCGGAACACGGAAACCCAGGTTCAACTTCCAACTCCTCTATGAAGCTCACTCATTCTCTCTGTGTAACTGACCTCACAGGGTTGCTGCAAAGCTAAAAATGGAGGAGGGGAAAACCATCTATCCTGTTATGTATTTTGCCTTAGTGCAATATCCAGCAATGTTTAGATGCAGCCTAAGAGTCAATGTATAGCTTAATCTCTAAGGTACATGGACTATAGTGTTTCATCAGTACTCTTTACCTCTCTGTTCCTGACTGCTTTTTCAGTTACAGCTTCCCCAATGATATACAAGAAAAGGATGAAACAGGCTATGGGGCTGGGGAATACAGCAGGTGTATACTGTTATGCTCTACTTTCACAGGCCTGTAAAAAAACGTACAGTGCAGCTCTATACAGATGTACACTACTCAAATACCACTAATTTACAAGGGGTATAACTCTGTTTAGGATTGCACTGTCAACTACCTAATCTTCAGAATCCTGTCAATACAAAGTTATCTGGTAATTAGATGTAGTAATTTAAACAGGTGCAAATTGTATTACATTTTTATACAGCACATATGTCCCCAACCAGCTGTGTGAAAATTCAGCAAAACATCTGGAAAAACCATTTATTTTTTAAATAAAACCATAATTTTTATAGCTAAAGAAATTGGATTACTTATCTCTGTGGAATAAAATAATTTATAAATAATAGTGCTCTAATCTTCGGTCTTGGCTACTTCTTTCGACCAATCTTTGGTGCCTTCTCAAGGCCCTGGATGTACTTGCGATGTATCTGGTAGTCCTCTGCAACAGAGTCAAGTATGAACAAAATAACCCCTTCTGTATTTGGTTAACTAAAACACACACAAGAGGATCTGCAGCTTTCTACAAAAACTCTAAAGTGCCATACAAATAATAATAAGGCCTGATTGTTTCAAGTCTTTTTAATTGTATGCGTTTCAGTCAGTAGGGTAGATCTGAAAAGGACATTCTTTATTTTTAGAAGATACACACACACATACAAACACACATTTCATAAACAGGCACCATCTCTAAAGGCATCTGCATTGTGAAAGAGAAGAAAGAATGTTTCTTCTAAGATGGTACATGGCATCTATGCAGATTGTGCATACATGTCGTACTTAGCAATTATTGTTGAAAAATCTGCTGCCTGGCTACTGTAAGGTACTTTTTACCTAACTGCAAGATTTTGGACTGATTAATATAAACACTGCAGTTTCCTAGATACTTACCTAGCAACAGTTTTGCAAGATGGTTGATTTGATTGCCTTGTATCTGGACCTGAGCTCTATCCTTGGTTCCTGGGAGTGTGGTGATTGTGGCACTGGCCTGAACCTTTTGCTGAAGAATATTGGCAATAGCCTGCGGATCTAGACCATAAAGCTCCAGATTCTTAATTATTGTTACCTGTGAGCGGGAGAGAGAGGACTGTATTATGGGCTAAGGATAGTCTAGTTAGTACACCATTCTACTGGGATATCCTATTCTTCTAGGCAAGCAGCACCCATAAGCCGAAAACCCAAGTCTGTAGGTCATTCGTTTGTGAAAATAAATGATTTATTTATTTATTAAAACATTTATAACCCGCCTTTCCCCTTGGCCCAAGGTGGCTTACAATAATAGTTAAAACATCCCCAGCTAAAACCAAAGATAATATAGAAAGCCCCAAATCCCCCCCCCTTAAAAGATGTCTGCCATTCAAACCCCCTCAAAAGCCCTGGCCAACAGACAGGCCTTGCAGCATCATTCAAATAATGTCAATAGAAATAAACAGATTCAACCTCATTTGTAACAATACAGTTTTGGTCACTAACTTAAAAATGCATCACAGAACTAGTTAAAAGCACAGAAGAGGACAATTAAGATGATCAAGGGGTTAGAACACTTGTCCTATGGAGAAAGGCTGAAGAGAATGGGAATTTTCAGTTAAAAGAACTAAAGGGGAGGTGTGTAGAAGGAATATCATAGCAGTAAAATTATGCTTGAAAAGCTAGGACACTGTTAGCTACACATTTTTACACAATTTCCCATCTATATTGAGCCCATCAGTATGACTTCTGACCAGGCCAGGCTTCAACCCCTAATTCACCCCCAGTTTGTGAAAATAAATCACGAACATACACTACCAACAATGTAATGTATCATCTTAACATCCTAGCTAGTCTTCTGCAATGGCATAGGAATTAGGGACAGATGTTAACCTCCAGAATTCTTGTCTCTGAAAAAGGAAGACAACTCAAGTGCTGTTCAAGGGCAACTCCCCTTGGTGAAAAGTACAGTTCCAGTAGTCATCCTTCTCCAAGAACTAGCAAAACATTCCACCCATCTTTCCTTAACCATCTAGTCTGGTGTGCAAATGGCATTTCTAAATTAGCCAGTTTGCACGCATAGTTCAATAATGCAGGAGACAGACAAACAAGAAGAAGAGGAGGCGGAGGAGGAGATTGGATTTATACCCCGCCCTTCACTACCCGAAGGAGTCTCAGAGTGGCTTACAAACTCCTTTCCCTTCCCCTCCCCACAACAGACACCCTGTGAGGTAGGTGGGGCTGAGAGAGCTCTGACAGAAACGGCTCTTTTTCAAGAACAGCTGTGCCAGAACTATGGCTTGCCCAAGGTCATCCAGCAGGTGCAAGTGGAGGAGTGGGGAACCAAACCCAGTTCTCCCAGATTAGAGCCCGTACACTTAACCACTACACCAAACAAGCAGGTTTTAAAGTGAACTTAGTTTGCTATAGAAGTCTGAGACAGCAAATTTGGGCCTTTGCTCAGAACACTCCTCACCCTTACCTTTTTATTTGATGATCGCTGTGCTATGGTTATGTCAATGGGGTCAATATTTCCTTTCCTCACAGTGGGTTCCTGCCCTGCAAAGGTCACCTGATGGAAGGGCTGCAGCTGGTTCAGACACCTGCCAGAGAGGTAGGATCAAGAGTTAAATCCTGAAGGGATGCCAGCTGTCAGCATCATGGCTTTGCCATTCCTGCAATAGTTAAGTAGCAGCTACCTCTTTCAAGGGAATAAACCTGTGCATTTCATCTTTCTCTACCTGTAGTTCAGGATTGTCAGCAGTGTTGACAGAACCTTTTATGAAAGCCAGATCCTACCAGGCAACAGAGCCCCAGTGAGGAATCACACTGGTCTGATACAGAGTAGTAGGCCAGGCCATGGTGCTACTCCAGAGTGCCTCTCTGGACTTACAAAGACTGTTACAGTTCTGCTTTGGTACTGTTATATGTGTTTTATAATGGAAAGCAGCCAAGTACTACCATTATCAGCCTTAAGGGAACTCAGCTTGACGTACTGAATCCCAAAAACCAGGGAACAACACACCCCTAACTTGCCATCTCACAAAGCCTGACAAACAGTGATGTAACATACACACAAGATTTGCATTTGGCCTTAGGTTTAAAGCACTTTCCTGACTGCTTTAAGCAAGAGAGTTCTTGATGCTGTATAGTAGAATGATCTTCCTTCAGACATATAACGAGAAATTAAATACACCCAAGACTTAATTTGTGGCACTGCCCAGGACTCAAGTCTCTTTACAACAGCAGGGCTACAATATTTGCAGCAATCCAAAAACCTCCTCAGAGCATGATTGGAAGCTCTGTCCCACAATGCTAAGTAAGCACAACTTAAACCTGTAACCCATTAACGACCAGGCTTTCAACCCAACCTGAGCATCTCTGTCTGAGCTATTTAAACAAAAAGCTTGTCAAGAATTAGTTAAGTCAGTCTGACAGTTAAGAGGAATTCTATCTGTGTGCCTTTCTTAATTCCCAGTATCTCCCTCAAAGTGTACTGTATGGGCCAGAACAGATTGCTTCATATAATTCACACAGCCAAATAGCGGAAATAATGCACCAAAACACCACAGTGCTAGGCCCTTGCTTGGCCACATGCCAATTTTGACCTGTGGTTGATTTCAACCTTCCTGACATTGCAGAATTCTCTCATACCGTATTAAAAGCAACCAAAACCCCTATTAACAATACTATCCCACACCCCGTTAAAATTAGGAGGATATGCAAGGAGTCATTCTTGATGGTTGCCCATCAATGCACTGCAATGTAATGGCTTGCATTATATGGGAAGCCAGGGCACAGTTGGCCTTCAGCACACTAGGAATCCATATCCCTCACCTGCTCAGAAGGTCATCCCACTTGAGCTTTGAGATTTCAGCTTGCTCTGATTGGTTCAGCAAAAATCAGCAGGCAGTCACACAAGATAGGATTCACTGTTACAAAGCTGCAATCAAATAAGACTCATGAAAAAGAAGCTTGTTCTCCCCATGATATGTTCATTGAGCTGGGAATACATCACAGTCCAGGCTGTACAGCACTCTAAAAGTCATTGTTCGCCTCTTCAGCATGTCACTAAAAGCTGAATTGGAATGTTCAAAACCCCGCTGCACTTGCAGTCTTGTCCTAGACTCTGACAGCCCGTGCCTAGTAAGAAAAGACTAAATGACAAAGGCCCTGTTTACTCATAACATTTCTGGATGTCCTATATTTGGCACTCTTTCACTGTACCCGGGGGGGGGGGGGTT